TGCAGGACGTGCTGGGGGTGAGGCTGGGGAATGCCTCACCCGTAGCAAGAGGTACCGCACGTCACTGCTGAACAGTCTTTTCAGCTGACATAAATATATATATATATAAGGCTAGCAAGCAGTAGATATATGCAAAAACTTACCTGTGTCTTCCCCGCGCGCTCCCGTCCAAAAATCTGAACATTCTCGGGCGGCCTGCAAAGCATCTTGGGGGCGGGCTCATGCGCAGTTCAGGTATTCAGCCGGGAGACGAGCAGAGACACAAGGTAAGTCTATGGACGGCGTGCACCCGCCTGCATACACCGTGGGACAGGAAGTGCCAGCAAGGACCGAGGAGTCGGCGCTGGATCGGAGAGCCGCAGCAGTGCTAAGGAGAAGGCTGAAAACGACAGGGAAGAAGAAGAAGATCGGAATAAGAGGAGACATCATTTAAGATAAGTGCTGACACTAACATGGGGGGGAGGGGAAAAAATGTAGACTTTAATGTCACTTTAAATGACAAAGTATTACTCTTTTCCAGGAACAGTCTCCTCTACCCGTGGACTGTCCCTGGATATCGGGGATGAATGGTCACCTTACAGTATGCAGGAACATGGGGATGCCGGGACAGGGGAGCTATGCTGTTATGTTACCATTCACCTCGTGTTTCTTTTGTCTTTTTCAGTTGGCCTTCAAGCTTTGAACGGTTGTCAGAGATTGTTGTATTTTGAAGGGTTGTCGGATGTTGCTGACGCTTTAGCACACACCATCCAGTATCACTGTCATCATCTGAGGATGTTCTGCCACCTTTTTTGATACTTGAATAAAGATGTTTTTCAAATAACCTAAATACTTATGGTCTGTCCCGATCATCAAATTAACCCTTGGACCGCCTATACTAAGTAGGTGGGCCGAACCATTTTTGTTTGATTTATCCTTCTATACTGGTTATCGATCTGGTTAGACGGACCTGACTCTAAAGGGAAAGATTCGGAGCTATTGAATCTCCAGGAGCGAAACAATCCTTTCTTTACAGACACATTCAGACTTATGATGACATTAGAGACAATTGGAACAGTGGATATGGACTATCTCTTAAATCCTGGAAATCCTCTGGAATATTATCTTCTCTATGATTTCCCCCAAAGGAATAAATGTGTTATAGGAACCCGAACCCAACCAGGAGACTTCTCACTCTTAGTTATACTGATTGGAGATTACCTGTCTGTAGCTTTTAATGTGACTTTCATACTTTTCATTGTTGGTTGCGTCTTTCATGTCATAATCATGTTCAATAATGTATCATAGGTTCACCGCAGTACTGCTGGGATCACACTGCTGTCTGAACAGTTCTATTGCCAGTAATGGGTGTCGTGTTCATCTGCTCGTACTGAACCATCGCAATCAAAGAGTCCAACATCCACTGCAGATGATTGGCCACAATTATGCAGTATGGGGTCTTTGTTGCAGGAACATGGGGATTCCGGGGGAGGGGAGCTATGCTGTTAGTTGATGTTCACCTATCACCCTCATGTTTATTTTGTATTTTTCAGTGACCTCCAGAACTTTGAACATGTGTCTTCTTTCAAGGCTTAGCACACACCATCCAATGACACTGTCATATAGTCATCATCTGAGGATGTTCTGCTAGACATGGCAAATGCCACCAGTTTCCACCCTGACTTCTTCCTCTTAAAGGGAATTCCTGGTTTGGAGAACTCACATCTTCTGCTGTCCGGCCTTTTTTTCTTCATGTATATTTTAGGTGTAGCAGCAAACTCAATCCTGATAGTGGTGATCTCGCTCCATGAAAGTCTTCACCAGCCCATGTACATCTTCCTTGTGATGTTGGCGGTAGGAGACCTTGTTCTATGCTCTTCCCCAGTCCCCAAGACTCTCAGTATTTTTTGGTTTGGTTCTGTAACGTTCCTCCGTGCCGTGCCGCGTCACGTGTGCGTCCCAGCGTGGAACGCAGCAGAGGGAGAAGCCACCGAATGGTTCCTCCTCCTTCCGGGGACGTACTGTGCGCTCCACACTGGAACGCGGAAGTGCGCTGCGGCCGCGTGACGTCACAGCCGCGGCCTATTTAAACTGGAACCAAACGCTGCAGGGTGTTCACTATTGGGTTTCTCATGCCCCAACACCCTGGAACCTTGTTCTCAAGGCAGACTGCTTGCCAGGACCGAAGGGAGGACTACCCTCCTGCTTGTACAAGTGACCTCTGTCACTACTGATCCAGCACCTAAAGCGCAAGTACCTTAAAGCCCTCGGGGCTTCTACATGTATGGACTACCTTAAGCTTTAGTTCAGTGCTAAGTGTATGCTCATAGATCTGGACTGCCTAAAACCTACAGTATATATATATGGACTGCCTATATCTATAAGTACTGTGATCTGTTGGCACTTATAACTGTTTCCCAAAAACCGCATGAGTTCATCTGACCTTAACCAACATTACCAGAAGAAGTACCTTGTGATTCCAGCTGGGCTTAGGGGCTAATACCTCCATCTCCCTACCTATTCTTTATTGCTTTCTACTACGGCTCATGATGCAAGAACCCCAAACTCTCCGCCTATGATTGAGAGTGACGCCTGGGGTTCGTGACTGAGCGCCGTATAGCTTCCTTTCCTTTTTACCTGAACTTCCGCAGTTGAGATCCTACTCACCTTAGTAACAACAAGCGGGCTGTGACAGGTTCTCATGAAATTTCTTTCAATGGTTGCTTGGTCCAAATATTCTTCATTCACTTTATTTGCATGACAGAGTCGGCCATTTTGCTTGCGTTGGCATATGACCGCTACATCGCCATCTGTTACCCTCTAGCCTATGTGACAAAGCTCACTCTGTCCTTTGTTAGGACTGCTGTTTCAGTTTCAGTGACCAGAAGTGTGGTTATAATGATCCCAGTCATCCTTCTCCTTTGGTGGTTACCATACCAGGACAGTAACGTCATAGAACACACGTACTGCGAACACATGGCCATGGCTAGACTGGCAACCGCAAGCATACTGGCCAATGTCATCTACGGCATGATCATTATTATTCTGACCTTTGTGATAGATTTATTCCTTATTGGGTTGTCTTACGTTTCCATTATTCAGGCCGTCATGAGACTCTCCACTTCAGACGCCCGGCACAAGACTTCAAGCACCTGTGTGTCCCACCTCTGTGTCATAACCTTACTGTATGTCCCGGCCTTCTTCTCCTTCATAGCGCACAGGATCCCTCACAGCCACCTCCCTCCCTATGTCCATATTCTGGTGGCCAATCTCTATGTCATTGTCCCTCCCATGCTGAACCCCATCATCTACGGCGTTAGGACAAAAGAGATTCGACAAAAGGCCATCAAGATGTTTACTGGGAAAATCACTGGATATCACTGATCATATGATAGAGTCGTCTGGCACTCTCTAACAGGGTTATTCACAGAAGGGTGAAGGGTTTGGAGAAGACAGGAGAAGTGAACCATCTAGGACACTTCTCCAATGCAGCTCACTTTCCAGTTCAGCTATGTTGTCCTAGATTGTTCACTTCTCCTGAAGGCCCAGAGGTCAGAAGAAATATTTGAGTTGCCTGTATGACAGCCCATGTCTCCTATCTCCCCTACACTGCCGTGTGATCCTGAAGAAGGGGGAGTCCATTCCCCTGAAACATGTTGGCTGTATCTGGTGTTCTTGTTGAATAAATATTTTAAACGAGTTTCCAAGTGAGACAATCATTTCTTATTATGTATTTAGCAGTTGATCTCGATCAGAGAGACAACAACCAACCTCTGAACCTAAACCAGGTCTACTCTTACGTTTCCATCATCACAGGTTTATCTCCTTAGAGGATCAGGGCTGTCCCTAAGGTATTCACCACCTGAGGCAATGTTGTTCACGGGGGGTGCTGCTTGGTCATGGGGGGGATGGGGCGTTGT